TACTTTTATAAGTACAATTATTATTACTCAAGTGGGAAGTTAGTGTGATGTTTGGCACTGCATTTCATCGGCCAGTTTTTCAAATTTGGGAGTGTAGGATGATGTTGCTGCTCTCAAACAATCGTGAAGATGGGCGTCAGCAAGTCGAGGTCTGTGCTTTGATTTTATGATGTTCATGGTTGTATGGCCTTCATTATTCAGCATAATCTCTATCAGTAACAATGTGGGCATCCAAAAAAAGGCTTGTCGGGCGCCATGGCGCCCACGGGCACCGCGTTGGGGACCACTGCTCTAGTGACTTACTCCTGAGCAAGTGCCCAGTACCCACGAAACAGGAGGCTGGGTGAGCCTCAGAGATGGTCTGGATATGAAGGCAAAGAGAAATATTCCACCTCCAGAATGAAATGAACTCTGGTAATGCGGAACGCAGTCACTTTACTGGCAATCATAGTTTACCAAATTTAAAACCAGCATAAACAAGACAATTCATTTAGATAAAGGAATGTACTATAGTACAGAGCTATAGCATAAACATAATTTTATAATGTTAATGTCCCAAAAAAGTATTAGTTTGTCAACCATTATTCTAGATTCATGCTATCATTTCAGCTGTCTTCCCCTAGGCTCGAATATTATGATGTTTTGTTATTTTTGTTGTTTTCCATTTCTACATATTGTTTCCAGTCATGTTGGTAATTCTGTATAAATCTAATTGACTGAAATTTTTAATTGTGTTGGTATAATCATTCCCAAAAGGACGAGGGAAATAACATTCAAAAACCTATCTGCAGGCTAACTAAAAATAGCATCTCCACCACTAGATTCGTCATTTCTTGTCTAGAAATCAGCAGGACAAGATATTCCTTTGCATTTCACAAAAATCCAGGCAGATGCAGTAAGCAGCAGGAAAGCTGAGATCAGAAGAAAATTTAGTGTCCTATTAAGTCAGTTAATGCGAATTTATCATTCCGCTGCCATTTTGTTTCACCATCTTGTATGTTAGTGCAGGAAAAGCAATAAGAAAAATTCTGCATGCATATAGAAATGCTATGAATTGCATGCACATTACTGAAAACGAATCTATAATATTTAAGCACAGGAACGTAAGCATACAAAATAATAACAGGAAATAATTATAACAATAGGGAAAAGATGCACCATAAGTAAAACAACTACAAATTTCATGTACATTACTTACAACAAATCCATAATGTCTAAGTATATCCATTTTACACATTGGGCAAGTTCTATGTTCCAACAGCCATGGATCAATACAGAATTTGTGAAATTCATGTCTGAAAATAAACAAACAAGTTTTATCTAAATGTGTTGAAGATTTATTTGAAGACGATTAGTCTACAGGACACTTTAGGTTTAACAATTAACTGCTATTCCCATATTTATATTTCAGTCTTATGTTTTCAACTTTATATAGTCTGACAGGATATGATGTAAAAGTGATTTTACACTGGTGAAAAATATTAATGTGTATATATGCTGGGTGTTGAAATATTGCTTTTTTATTACATTTGAACTGCATTATGTGATTACAGGTGCCATTTGGCCTTGAAATTTAAACATGTACGCTTCCTGTTTCATATTCACCATATAAAATTTTCTTTTCAGGAAGTCCTATGACTCTTTGATTCTTATGTTACTTGGATGAATGTTAGTTATGTAAGTTATCTAATGATGCTTCATCAACTGCAGTGGTTATTTAGCATCAAATAGTACAGAGCAGTTCATAAATAGGAAAGAGGTAGGAATTTGAAAGGAGGCAGTTGTAGCCAATTTTAAAGCAATATTCCAGAATTCAATCGGAGAGACTGCAAAAATCAGGATAACCAATAACCTGATTAAGAGTCAGACTACCTCTCAAACATAATTCAATTCTTTATTATTAGTGCACTGTATCAAGAGCCATAAAGCTACAACATTAACGTTACGCCAGCGTCCTCAATTTTAAGAAAGTATGCATTGCTATATTAATTAATAGTACAGAATACATCCTTATTTTATAATAACACAAGCCTTTTATTATGACTCGACAGTACTCTAAAGGCTTTTGTGATATTTTTGAAGAATTTTTTGCCTCAATCTTCAGGGTAGCAATCAAGATAACTAGGATAAACAGTATGAATAAATAAATATAAATTGTGTTGTTAAGTATTAACTTCTTTCAAAATGTTAAAATTTTGATCCAAACTAACATATCTTCTGTATTTTAATTTTCAGTCTTGCATATTATGTTTTTTATATCAATTAAAAAACAAACAAGAAAATGGATCACGACCAATTTTAAGTCTCGTGTTTTTACCTGCACGGCAAGATGCGAAGAACATCGGAGATCTTATACGGTTCAATGCATACAGCACAACATTCACCATCCCCTTGTATTTCCTGTAAATAAAGCTAAAGAATCTTAAACAATTTAAATATTAGTGTTTTCACTTTATAAGAAAACTCTTGAAAATGTAAGTAAAAAAAGTTATCCTACATGCAGAAGTATACAACGGAATATTATTTAAAGATTCGTTATGTCCACTTTCTGTTTATGCCTCCACCTTACAAAGAAGACATCAGGGTTAAAATTCTCTCCCTCGATGATAAATATTTCAAAATAATTTTGTTTTCTGAACAGACTATTGGTATTTCAAATCATCATCTCATGAACTTAATGACATGATTTCTTTTGCAATGTTCGTAATTTTTAGTATGAAGAAAATTTAACGAAATTATTATAGATATGTTTAAAACTTGTGGCCCTACCAAACTGCATGTTTATCAACAAAGTTTAGTTTCGCAAAATGAGTTTTATACAAATAAATTATCAAAAAATTATTGGTTCTTGTACAAGCATATGCAAATATGTATGAGACTTACACTGAAATAACTGAAGAAATGTTAATAAAGAAACCACAGATCTTCTTTTGCTAAAATGCGGAACAAATGTTCAGAGATGAAGAAAATAACAAAATTTAAACTAAGAAATGATAATGTCTTTTGTAATATTACTTGTGTAACATCTTTCAACACACCTTGTCTTCAGACTTTATATTCTTTGTTGGAATTTTTGACAATGCCTTTTTAGCAGCACTGCATAACCGTCTCTGCAAGGAAAATAAAACACTTTTGTCAGTAAAATTTAAACTGGACATTTACCTTTACCAACTTACCAGATAATGACAAGAACAATCATGATTCTGCAATGCTGTTTGTCTGGACTTGAATACAATGCACAGTTTCACCTGAATACGTAGTGGCTTCGTTTTTAATACAACGAACGATGGATCAAATCCACAGAAACAACAATACATAATGAACGCACCATCTTTAAAACCATTTAGAGTTATATAAACAATGATGACGTCATATTGCATCGAATGGAAGGGAAATATCGCGTTGAATGACCAGGAGTGATGAGTTTGAAAGTAATGGTCGTAAGTTATTTAAATGTATTATCTGAGCATTTTACCGCAAACACGATTAGAGCTAATCTTTTGTCCCCTTGCCCCTTTCTCGTCAGTTCAGCCTTTTATGCATCTTATAGCTTCACAACAGAAGCTGGTGTGTTGTGCACTGCCCCCTATATCCACAGGAGACAGCTGTAAATAGTCCGTTATAATCTGCGTGTCTAAAATGCCGAAAATCTATTTTAAGCCACTCTATTGGGAATCCTGCCATTGAATTGCGTTAGTGACTCAAGGTAAAATAAAAAAAGAATTGCTAAAACATTTCTGTAGATTTTGTGTGACAGCCGTCAATTGGAAGCTGAAAGTGATACTGAAAGAATAAACTTGAATCATCAGAACTTTGGACGAAGGCGTCGCGGTAAATTTACTGACTTTATTTTTATTCTTTAGACAGAATGTTTGTCTTAAAATCGCAAAGCCTTGGACTGAGTATTCTGCGCAACTAATGCGTCTCACGTTAAAGTTTACATTCAGAAGTAAGGACTTTCGGCCTTGGTATCAGATGAAGCATTACAATAAGGTCAGAAAAGGCACGGGGTTTAACTTAATACTATAAATGACAGACAACATTACATGACAAGGCTTGTCTGAACTTTAAAATCACTTTGCTACAGAGCCTATACACCTTTGTTAAACTAGTTTTATTTTTAGGCGGTTTCTTAAACTTTAAACAAAGTATTCTAAGACATGAGAAAATTTTTCTACTTTCTTAACACATTGACTAGATAAATAAATGTTTTTATGGGATCTGAGAAGCTCAGGGCGGTAAAGATGTCGATGTTGGTCTTCAGGGTTGTTATGCCGTGTGGATTTGTAGAACGTTACGTATGTACTGTATCCATATTCAGGTATCACGATGGAGGAAGTAGGCTATGACCCTCTGAAACGTCAGTGTGAGTCTACACACCCACCCGGTATTACAAGTCAGAAGGCCAACATCGGCAGATGAATGTTTATATATGAATCCGCTGCAGATGAGTGGTAATCACGTTTACTTACCGAAAGTCTGTCCTTTGCGTGGACATAACGAAACCTTTGGACGTAATAGAAAGCTAGCCAGGCCAGAGATATGATCATCAACACAATAAACGAGAAGGAGACGAACAAAACTGAGGTCCTGCAAACAAAGAAAAAGCAGACGGAATTTCTTGAATGATATTCTATTTAAAGACTCTGTAGGTAGTAGTTAAGTAACAACTCTAAATGGTGCCGAGGGAATGGTTCATCGCATTCCAAGACTTATAACTTGCTAATTTGAACACTTGTACTATAGTATTCAAAGACGAACGTGGGTTAGTGACGTAATGCATCTACGTTCCGAGAGGAAAAAGACATCAGGAAACACTAGGAGTAGATGGAAACACCAATTTAACATCTAAACGTTTGAACGAGTTTCAAGCACATATTCGTCACTAGTCGTCACTGCTGGTGTTTGGTCACAATGAAAATGTGACCATCATCGCATTTCGAATGTAGAACGTACCAACCTAATTACAAGACATTCTGCCATAACCACAATTTTGGACTTGGTTTCTCGCCTACCTCACCAGTACTTGGACACTTAGAAGACATGCTTGAACAGGTGCCTGTCCATCTCTCGGCCTGGAACATTAAACATAAAATCCGCTGTTTCGCGGG